TATTGTTCAAAAAAATTATAAAATTTAAAAAAATCAATAAGAGATCATAGAATTTAGTTACATGGGTTTCAATTTAAAATATAGAAAGTTGAATATAGCCTAAGATAAACTATGACATTTAGAAAAATTCTGCAAAGCTAAAAAAACACAAATTATAGATCTTAAAACAGCAGTCTTAAAATAATTCTGCTAACTTTTTTATTTTTATTTACTTAATTTAAAATTCGAGGCTCATTGTCAATTTTTTTAATCTTTATTAAATTAGAATACATAAGTACCATTTTTTTTGTAGTAAATCAAAATTAATGGAAGTTCACTTGGTTTTCATGCGGTCACGAGATCAAACTATTAAACATTAATTTCATGTTGTTTATTTTATTATTCAAATACATTTATATTTTTTATTGATTAACACTTTGCTTCCCTAATTTTACTTTGACGCCATGTTTTCTCTTTATATTTCTTTATTTTTTTATTTTTTTCTCTTATATTGTGAGGGTTTAAAATTTAGAATTTGCGTATAATTGTGACTAAAAGTACTTTCGAAGACATCTACTAACAACCTAAAAAAAAAATAATTTTGATATATTAGAAACTGATTAAACAAACTGCAAGTAAATGTTTCAAAACCGTTATTTTGCGGATCTGTGTTTATTAAGACTTTTTTGTTTGTTTTGCTCCATACTATTACCTCCTGAAAAATTTTACAATCTTTTTTAACACTCAGTTTTTTTTTCAGATCGTTCCTAATCGAGGAGAAATGTCGTTTCCTCTCGAACTTCACTCTCAAGACTGCTGAAGTGGAAATCCCCGGCGAATTTCTCCTCCCCAAACACAATCACTATTATGTTCGTATTACTCGTTTTATGCCTCGTGTCGATGTAGTCCAGAAACACAATGCTGCCGCTCGACGTCTCTACATCCGTGGCCACAACGGTAAAATCTACCCTTATTTAGTGGTCAACGATTCGGGTCTTGTCGATGCTCGTCGTGAAGAACGAGTCTTGCAACTTCTACGCATGCTCAATCATTGTCTCGGTAAACAGAAAGAGACAGCACGAAGATTTTTGCATTTTACTGTTCCACGAGTCGTTGCTGTATCCCAACAAATTCGATTGGTTGAGGATAACCCCGCCTCCATCTCCCTATTGGACATTTTCAAAAAGGGGTGTGCCAAGTTGGGTATTGAGCATGATGATCCCATTCATTACTACTACGAGAGATTAGGTGGGGTGCAGAGTAGGGGTATAAAAGCGAGTCATCAATTGAGTAGGGATATTTTGAAAGGGGTACAAACGAATATGGTACCAAGGACGTTATTGAAACAATGGGCGGTGCAAACATTCCCATCAGCGACTGATTATTGGCAATTTAGGAAAATGTTTACGTTACAATTGGCGTTGGCTTGTTTTGCTGAGCATGTGTTACATTTGACGAGACTTAATCCCGATATGATGTATTTACATCAGGATTCGGGATTAATGAATGTGGCCTATTTTAAATTTGATGTGGATGATGGGACTGGAGAGTTTGGGGCGACTAGATCGGTGCCGTTTCGATTAACACCGAATATTGTTGAGTATTTGTCGAGTATTGGGATTAGTGGGCCGTTGACAGCATCGATGATTGCAACAGCGAGATGTTTTGTTTATCCGAATTTTAAAGTGATGGCGATTTTAAAACCGATTTTGAGAGATGAAATGGTTTTGTCGAGGATGAAGAAGCCGGAAGAAGTGATAGGGAATAATACGGAGAAGTTGAGCGATAGTGAACAGATTATTAATATGGTGAATAAGGCGGTGACGTCGATCTCGAGTCGTTTGAATAGTTTGGCGCATTTCGATGGAGCGGATAGTAAGGTACGTGGTGGTTTTTTTTCCCTATAATACTTGTAATTGTTTAATAACCAACAACCACAATCAAACAAGTTTTTCTAATCATTTTTGAGTTATTTACAACAAAGTAAAACAAGTTCGCTTATACGAGAAGTGAGTATCAACTTTGATATTTTAAATACAAAACTATGTTTTTGAGAGAATCAAAATTTCTAGCCCAGTCAAATTAGACAAAAATAGGGCGATCGGTGGAAAAAAATCCTAGAGAGTTAGGATTCTTTACACTTGGGTAGACATATATCAAAAGTCCCCGAGGGTGGTGACCGAGCTCGCGGAAGGGGAGGGGGCTAAAGGTGTCTTTTTTTTTGCTTATATCTCGGAAACTATCACTCCTATCGGTTTTTACTTTTTTATTAAAATTGAAGCTTACAAAATTTCCTACAAAAATGTTTTTTTGCATTGACTAACCGTAAGCGAGTTATAGAGCTGACAAAAAACTTCATTTAAGAAAATGTGTTTTATCCGCATTTAAAACAGAATTAATCTTGTGATTTGAAAAAATTAACAGTAAATTGAATTTATTAGTGCAACACTTCATTTACCAGTCGTCCTCATATGCTGCATCTTCGTCTTCAACTTAAACATTGAATACCGAATTTCAGTCTTGTCTTGTACAATATTAATAGCTAGATGATTTAATATCGATGATTTGAATAAAGCCTACAGTAAATTGAATGTATTGGGTCCAACAGTTTATTAGAGGGTGACACGGGGGTCTATCAGGTCTTCGGGTTCATTCTTATATGCTGAACTAGCATTTGCCTGCGACTTCGTCCGCGATTATTTCTGATATCAAATGGGAAAAAGTCCGTTTACAAAACCATTCCATAGGCTTAGGTATTTTGTAAAGCTGGATAATTATCTATGTTTTGTGTCGGATTCAGCTGTAGTATTCTCGTTCTTCGCATGGGCTATGTTTATGGATAAATGTTAAATGTTGATTTTCATAAAGTGTTTTAGTACACTTCTGCACTCTCAAAATTCCAAATTTCATGTTTCTAATTTCGTTTTTAAGCGTTTACACCCTACTTTATTTTGTTAAAATTTGAAAAGTGCACTTCTACACCCTCTAAGGATCATATTTTCCAAATTTTATGTTTATATATTCCTTTAAATGTGTACACCGTTTCATTCCCTTAAAAACTAATTTTCGAAAAATCTGATTTTAGTGCCCCTTTACACCTCTAAAGAAATTTTTGATTATGTTTTTATTATATTTTTATAAATTACAAGTTGCTTGTTAAAGCACTGTCAGAGTAACATAAGATAACTTGGATTGCAAATGCAAATCCTAATTAAAATTACATCAAACTTTGTTTTTTGGGTTGCATCGCCAGATCGTCAGGCTCATTATCTTATCTGAATTGCCCTGTATGCCTACCCAAGTGTAAAGAAAGCATTTAAAAAAAACTCCAACTTTGTTTGTCTAATTTGACTGGGCTATTTCTATATCTAAGTTTAACCGTTTTTGAAATATTTGAAGTTTTTTTTTAATTTATGGATTTGCACCTTCTTATTCTAAAATTGATAACTCTGCAATTTTTAATTATTTTCAAATCGTATTTGGGGATATGAAAGAGAAGGGTTCGATCTTTCTTTTGGTGTATTCATAATTGAAAAAATAATTAATAAACCTCGAAAATTTAAATTTACAACATCAAATACCCATAACTTATTTTTTTTTTATGAAATGGAGGAGAATTTGATTCTGTTTCGAATTGTATCAACATTCCCTATACCTATGTTTAATGGGTTTCAAGTTATCTTGACTTTATTTTACAATGCGAGAAATTTATTACTATTTATAGTTGTTTTCGCACAGTTTGTCATGGAAATATTTCTCAGTTTTTTACAAGTTTTAGTTTTTTTTTTCGCAAACACAATACAGGGTGATTCACATAACTTTCCGACCCTGACGAACTTTAAATGCAACACATACCCGGCACGGCGGCGGCGTCGTTATCCGACAGATAAGATTTTTAGACCAAACGCCATAGACGACGGACTGCAACGAATCCTGATACGAAATAAGAGTTATCAAAACGGTGGACAATAACCCACATGTCAGCCAGAGGCAAATTGGTCACTACGTAGTACCGATTGTTGTCGCTTAGACAAAGTTTACAAAACTCCGTTTGCAGATATGAAAATTCTGAAAAATATAATTCGTACTGCATGCCAAAAAATTACACCAGACATTTTAGTGAGAGTTCGACAGTCTTTTGTGACGCGCATTCAAGCATGTTTACAAAATAATGAACATCAGTTTGAAAATTTATTGCATTAAGTTCTCTAGTTTTTGTTTAGTTTTTTTGAGTTATTTCACTGTTTTTTTTACTATTTCACACATTTCACTGTTTCTTTACTAAAATAAGAATGTGTTGTTACTCCATTGTAGTCATTTATTTATTGATTGGCGCTATTAGATTTTTATGAGGGATGCCCAAATCTCAAAAAAGTTTACAATTATTAGTCTTTTTGAATCAAGTTATGATTGAGTAACGTATTACTGGTTGCATTTAAATTTCGTCAGGGTCGTAAAGTTATGTGAATCACCCTGTATAATTTATTTAATCTAAATTTAAATAACTTTGATTCTCTATTGCTAATTGAATTTCCCGCAATTTCTTGGTCGCATCCCTAGTTTTTGTTTTTTTCTGGAAAATTCTGGACACACACTTTTCCTAAAATTGAAAAACGTCCAAAACGTGGAGATTGAGCAATGCTAGCAAACGGAAATCTAATAAAAAAAAACTATCGGAAGCGTGAGTTTTATAGCTCAAAAAGGCCTAAAAGTCTCTAAATTAACATCAAAAAACATCACATAGGGTGCCTTGGATTTTTGACAGTTGTTGACATTTCGCGTAAATGTGGCTCATACTCTGGAGAAAATCAAACAAAAACGATGGTAAACGTCGCGTGTGAGTTGAAAAAACCAAAAAGGTGACGTAAATAGTGTTTGTGTGTTGTTTTTTTCTGAAAAGTGATTCTGTATCAAAGTACGATTGGTGCAAATAACTCAGACTCAGAGCAGCCGAAATCTCGTCGATTCGATTGACTCTATAAAATCCCTTTTGAAAGAATTTCTTATGCACATTTTCTGATTTGAGAAAGGTAGGTGATGATAGTGAATCGTGAACTTTTGTTTGAGGTCTAAAAAATTATTTCCGGTGTTTTGAAGAAAATACTTATAAACGTTCACGCGCATGCACATATTTTCCAAAAGTGGTAACTGCCAGATTTTTAAAATTGTTTTTCTTGGAAAATCAAATGACGAAAAAACGGTAATAAAAGTGATAAAAGTACGTAAGGGGGATTCATATAACGAAAATATAAAAATTGAGGTTAGGTACATTTGCAAATGTACAGTCGCGGCCATTGAAAAGTAATACACTTGACAAATAAAAAAATTTTGGCGTTGTAAACTTTCCCTTGAAACTGACAATCACTCTCATGTTTAAAATGTCACTAGAATCTTCTTCTTTGCTTTAAGGACAGTCATTTTGTTCACATTTATTTCTTCTGCGATGACTCGTATAGGGACATTGTCCCTTAATCCTTAATCTTGTAATAATAATAGATTTTTGTACATTCGACAATAGCGGCATTTTTAAATTTTCCTGACGGCGTCCACCACTGATTTGTCAAAAGTGACGTTTTCAGTGACACTGACAATCACGACGAAAAAATTACATTATGCAATTTTTTAAATTTTGAGAGGATGTGTCAAAATCCCGTGTATTATTTTTCAAATGTACATACTTCAACTACACCACTTAAATGTCATATTCGAGTGAATTTGTCAATTTGACATTGACAGTAACATTATCGTCGTCGTTGAAAGTTCTTTTGCAAGTATTTTTCGTTTATTGGTTGATTTCTTGCTTTTGTTCTGCGTCTCATTGGTTTTTTTAATAATTCCTTACGATTAAGTAACTTCCATGAAATCAGGCATAAATGCACTTGTGTTAGTGTAAAAAGTTGAAATAATGAGGGGTCACCGATAAAAATTAGCCCCCCATCATCCTTTACTTATTCTACAAAAAATGAGGCCAAACTTATAAAAAACCATTCAAATGCTGTTTTAGTACTTTACATATTGTGTGGCACAAACCACACTCTGTAAATAAAGTTGTGATTATTTGAGATATTTGAGGTAAATATGACCGTTTGTTTAAAAAGCCTATTATTTAATAAAGTAATTGACAACTTCTAACTCGTATATATTGAACCTAACGTCAAAAAAATTGACGTTTTGTCAACACGATGGAGAAACGTCAGATGACGCACCGGTCAACCCCCGTGATTTTTACCATATATTTATTATTCAATATCTTAAAAACTGTTGAGTGTAGTGTTTTCATGATTTTACACCTAGACGCTCATATTTCAAGCGTTTTTGCAACTTAAAGTTTGATCGATCATTCTCACGATTTTACCGGTGAACTCATCAAAAACTTAAAAAATTCTGAATTTATTAAAACTCAACTCATTAACATTATATGCACTTTTTTGAGTTTCTTATGACCTCTAGAAGTGTAAAAAACTACGATTTCATAATGGTTAAAAATGGCAAAGTTCCGATTTTTGAAGGAGGAAGATTCAAATCCAAAAATTTTAAAAAACTTTTATAGAGTAACTTGGGTAATTTACAAACTCAATAAAAACATAGCTTTCTATTTAAAATAACAAAGTTGGTACTTACTTCTGATATAACCAGAAGTGTCACCATCTTGAAAATATTTTCATTGAGCAGGACCTTATGGCTATACAGGGTGCGCCAGAACTCACGCCCCAGAGAAAAATGCCATATAAAGTAAGATACCAGGAACATGAAAAAAATGTTAAAAAAATGTTATCTATAAAAATTTCAAAGTTATGGGAGTTTAAACTTTGCACTTTGACTATTTATTTCTGTTGGAAAAATAATTTTCCAAATTTTTTTGCTACAGGCTATTATAAGAGGAAGCAAGGAAGCTCTATCCTAAATTGTAACTCTGTTCAATGTTATTTGTCGCTTTATTGGCAAAATTTTGGTACCTTTACTAAATAATTGTAAAAGAAACATATACAAGATCATCAGTATCATTAAATAGACATAAAAAATGTCGAATGTCAAAAAATAAATGTCAAAATTTATTGACAGAATTTTTTAAACATTTTTTCCATGTTTCTATCTTACTTGAAATTGTTTTCTGGGGCGCGAGTTCTGGAGCACCCTGTTTGTGATTTTATAGATAAATATCATTGGCAGAATTAACATAACGTAAGGTTTAGCAGGATCAGCATGTTATTTTAATACAAAAATATCAATGTTATGTATGAATAATAAAATTTGAAAAGCTAAAATATAAGAAATTACAATAAAGTACATAACTATGAACAAAAATGAAGAATTCGAATTAAAAACTTACTTGTAAATTCACAGTTTAAGCCCAAAATAAATCAGAAGAAAATCATAAATGAAAAATATTAAAAAAAAACTACAGGGTGAATATAAAGTATGGAACCAAGCGGTTTTATTTTTAATCATTTGCCTCCGGAAAATAATAATTAATATAAATTAAAGTAATATAAACAATGTGATCGTAATTTCAGAACGAAATTTTGTTTTGTTTTTGAGTTATGCGATTTTTTTTGTCAAAATTGCAATTTATGTGAAAAAATTAAAAATAAAGCAGATAGTTGTAATCCTTAGAGTATAGCTTTTATGAGAAAAATGATTTTATAGTGGGTTGCCATTTAAAAAAAATAATTTTTTTGTAGAACTCAAAAATAAAAGGAAATTTCGAAAAATTTTATTCTTGTTAAATCATCACATTTTTATAGTACTTTAGCACTCATCAACTAGTTTTTTCAAAAAATAAATAGTTTAAGGAAAAAACGTTTGGTTCCATACTTTTTATTCACCTGGTATAATGTTTAAAGTTGTTTAGGTGCCAGATGAAATGTGATAACAGTTTGTCTCTTTCATTATGATCAAGATGTATCTTGATAATGACAAAAGTTAAAATACTTGTCATATTATCCATCATAACCGAATAAATCTTATTTATAATAATTAATTATATTTGGTTTTTTATCATCTATCAACCTTCAGACAGATTCTATCGTAATAATTGTATGAATTTTTATCTCAGCATCAATTATTTACAGTATTTTTCTAATGTGTGGCTTTTGTTTTATAAGTATGTACAGTGACTCGTTACAATTGGCGAGAATTTTGAATGCGCAGTTGATTCGCAAGCTGTTTCATACGCGGGAACTTCAACACTTTCCAGTGGCGTCACATAAGCAGTTGCTTTTACTGGGACAGTTTACAAGATCTTAATTACGATGAAATTTTTATCAACATTGCTGTATTTTATATTTTGCTTATAAGAAATGAGTAAAAAAACAATAACCAGAAATGTGAAAAAATAAATGTGTCATTTTCTTTAAATCAACTGAAAGCTATTTTTCTAAGATCTAAACGATTAATTTTTTTCATAAAAAAACTTCTCAGAAGGATTTGAAACAATGTGTGTTATATTTTTTCACAAAACATGCAAAAGCAATCAAGATAAGAAAATAAAAGAAAGATATCAAAGAAGGCGGAAAGTTTACTTTTTACCATTTTTAAATCTATTTTTGCTTATTTTGTAATTACAGTATTGTCATTATTGTTATCTGCTATAATTTTTTAATATATCAAAGATATTTTCGTTGTAAAACATGCAATTTGTTTATCTTTTATTATCAGATTTTTTACCTAAATGAGGGTAAATACAATCATTGTAAATAAATACTCGTAAAGCTCAAAAATCATCTTTGTAAAGAAAATTGTTCTAGTTTCTCTTATTAGAATTTTTTATAACAAAAATGAACATGATTCCAGTAGGAAAATTTTTCTTTTTCTAATGTTTTATCAGCATTTTTTTGTAAAATTTTTATCATTAATTAACTTTTAACTTGTTCTGATTAGGATACATTTGATTAGATTACATTATGTTTATTATTGCAGGTTTCAACTCTTGTAAATGCAGCAATCAGTCACGACAACTTATGCCGGATGGACCCAGCATGGCATCCCTGGCTGTAAACTTTAGTATTATTTACTTTTAAAGTGATATTTTTGGTAAAAATAAAATGTTAAAAATAACTGTTTCATTCAAATGACCCCTTCAACAAAATTATCAACATTTTAATCACTTATTACTCAATTTGTTGTTGCTTTAGAATGTTTCCTGTCTTTGCATATGGAGAGAAAATGACGTAAGAGTTAATTATAAAGCGTCATTGGGGTATTTTTACATTAAAGCGGGAACACTGAAATATAAAAACCTCCACTTGTAAATTCTATGAAAGCTTTTCTTTTATTGTGTTTACCTGTTTGCAGTGTTGTGCAAACACTGGATGCTCTGACAAGTATTTAATTACACCGCACTTATTTATGAACGATAAATTAGTGGTGAACTTCCATAAATCAAACTTGAGTTATTTTTTTCCGAATCAATTAGAAATGACAATGTTTTTGCCCCTTTGAGTGTAATCTCGCCGATTCTAATAAGTTTTCAGTAGTAGTTACAATATGTTTACGGGTTTTGATTTTTTATGAAATGTCCACGATTGGTGATATTTTCGTCTGAGATAAGTGACGATTACAAATCTACATATTATATATAGCGACATCTCTTAAAAAAGCTGCACATTTTCGGTGTTGCTAACGTTAATAGTGGATTGTGGCACAATGGTTGATTGTGGGTCAAGAGGTGAAGTGATGGCGAAAAATACGGTGTTCAAGAGATCGGTTACCAAACAGGTAGGTAATTTTTCCAGCCAATTGGGGTAACAAATTTTCGTATTTTTGCAAAAATCAAATTTAAATTAAAACAAAAATATCTAATCGCTACCTTGACTCATGTGTCAGTTTAAGTTTTTTTTGCGATTGTACAATTTTGTCTAAATTTTTGGGCCAATTTTTTTTGGCCAACAGTGACACAAATTTTTTTGTCAATGTGACAACTAACACAATAATTTATTATAAAAAATACTGTGATAACCATAGTAAATAAATTTGGTGATTAAAGTTAAATATTTTTGTTCAAACTTTAATTTGGTAACTGCTACGAAAAATATAAAATATATATAAAATAGTTAATTAACAATTAAGTTTGTAAATAATATTTTGATTATTATAAATGTCGCAAATAATATGAAAAATCAACTGAAAAAACTTTAAATGTCAAAATTTTCTGTACCTAAACTTACTCTAATTAAAATCCGAATTAATTTATTTTTTATGGCAAATTGTGGCACTTCTTTTAATTCTTTAGCTTTCTATATTTGATTCGATCAAAATTTTTTATGCTTTGCATTTGATCATTTTTTTGTTTTTATAACAGAAAAAGCACACTATAACTTTATATTTTTACATTTAATGTATTATTTTGTTTTTTGGAAACACTTGCTATCTACATTTTTTGATAAATTGTATTTTTTTTTAATTTCAACTCTCATCTTTAGATTGTACTATTTTTTTACAATATTGGCGATTTTAATTCTTTTATTAAAAAAAACAATATAGCAAACAATGAATAAAATATTAAAGAACTTTTGATTATGAATAATTTATTTATTTTGGATAGTTATTTTTGATAGTTAGTTTTGATAAACGTCACTATTTATTGCACTATTTAACATAAAAAATGGTAACGTTGTTGGCCACTAAAAAAGCCTTTCAAGCTTTTATTACTATTATTTTTTAATTTTTTTTATCGATTCTACAGTCAAGTGTCTCAGATTATGTGATAAAAAATCCGGTTAAATTATTACTTTCCAAAGATGTTTATCAATAATCACGCACTTAACTCTGATTTATTCTGGACACAAACAATACCACCTCTTATCATCCACGAATCTCAAACGTGCAAATTCCTATTCCAGGTCCTTCTCGGCCTTCTGACCAATTTCTCAAGCATTGCACCTAGCATGAGTCTTGGCTTCTCAGCAGTTGCTCTTCCGTTTCTCACTCTAGACAGCGACCAAGCATCATGGTTTGGTACAACTACATCACAATACCTTTGACCATAACATTTATTTTTCTTTTAATTGTAGCAAGTATAGCATCATTAGCGACACCTTTTGGGTGTTTATTTTCCGGCCCAATTTCGGATAAATTCGGCCGAAGACGGGCCATGTACTGTGTTAACATTTTCTGTTTTATCGGCTGGTTGCTCATAGCCTGGGCTTACTACTGGCCACAACACCAGTACGTTATTCTTTTGTTTGGACGACTTTTGACTGGGCTATCGACGGGGCTATCAAGTGCCCCAGCGACTATATACATGGCGGAGATTGCAAGTGTTAACCTAAGAGGAGTGTTTTGCACGTGGAATAGTATAGCGTTTTCTTTGGGGGTCCTTATTGTCTACTTTTTGGGTTTTGTTCTACAGGTAATAAAGGTTTGTGACTGGGCTAAAAATCGAAATTTGTACTTGTTTCAGGACAATTGGGGTCTTATCAGTTTGATAACTGCTGTTTTTCCATGTGTTGGCATGGCTTTTGTGACGTTTTTGGTGCCGGAATCGCCATCTTGGCTTATTCGGAAGGAACGATTCGATGAAGCGAAAGACAACATGTGCAAGATTTTCGGTACTAAAGAGTACATCCCGGAAGTGGCACAAGAAATTGACAATTTGGTCCGGAACAGAGGGGTCAAAACTAGTAAACAGAAAACGATACTCCAACAAGTCGCCAAAAAAATTAAATATTTAACACGGAGCAATTGTTTGAAGCCTTTAAGCCTCGTTGTTGGGTTTTTCTTCTTCCAGCAATTTGCCGGTACTTTTGTTATAGTTTTCTATGCGCTAAATATCGTCAAGGAGGCCGGGGTTGAAATGGATCCTTACGTCACAATTGTCATGATTGGTGCAGTTCGCTTGTTTTCCGCCATTTTGGTTAGTTATATAAGCAAAATTTTTGGTCGGCGGCCATTATCGATAGTTTCCGGTTCGGGGATGACATTTTGTATGATGGCTCTTGCAGGGTACATTCTTGCCCAAACTCAGGGTAAAGTACCGGAAACGACACAACAGTCACTTGTTTTTCTTCCGGTTGCTCTTCTTTTGTTATATTTCTTCACAAGTACTGTCGGTTTTCTACCAATGCCTTTTGCAATGGCGGCTGAGCTGTTTCCGGCTAAAATTCGTGGTACTGCCACCGGACTTGCGTCAGGAATTGGGTACTTTTTCAACTTTATAACTGTCAAAATTTACCCCACTATGATTTCGGGGATTGGTCGAGAAGGAGTTTTCTTTTTTTATGGTTCAATGAGTCTGGCTGGTACCTTTTTTGTGGTGGCACTCCTGCCAGAGACTAAAGGGAAAACTTTGCAAGAAATTGAAGAGTATTTTGGTAAAAAACCGTCAAAGACGAATTCGCTACTTAAAGAACCTGTCTAAGCACCACTCATATCAGTAGATATATCCTAGATTTAAGTTTCCCAACTGTGATATTTCCTATAAAATAAGTTAAATTGATCAATTGTAAAATATTTATTGGAAAATGATAAAATACAATCTCAACATTTGGTAGTCTCTGTGTGATTACAAAACCCGTTATTAACAAACCCGCCTTCCTTGATTTCCGTATAGTTAACATTTTGACATTTCGTGTTTGGCCATGTTGGATCCTCCCTTAATTCCTTTTCAATTTTCAAATAAATTTGTCTCGACTTTTCCAAAATTCGGAATTTGGGTCGCACAAATTTAAATAAAAGAATATCAACAAATACGTCTTCGATGATGACACAAATTACAAAATTGACAAACGCCATAACCAAAATGGCGACTCTCCCATCATATAATGGCGGCATTTGTAATTCTAACGCTTCGATAACCCAATGAACAGGATCCAAAGTGATGTAAGAACAAACCCCAATCATTAAAATAATGGCAGAGAGGAAAATAAAGTTGGTATAGATGGGTTTCCGGTATGGTTTGCCTTTGGAAAATACCACCGCCATTATGATGTATTGAAACATTGACACGCAATAAACGGCATAATTTTCGTAACATCTATACATAGTGCTATCTTTAGGGTCAAAAATGAAGGGAACAAACCAATCGTATGTTTGTATGTGATAGTAGGCAAAAATTTGCACGGCCACTGTCACCAACATGAAAAGTATAATCGATGCTAAGGGAACAAAACTCAAGAGTGACGTCATCGGGGGCCCGTTGTGTAACTCATCATACGCTCTTGTTTTACCAAAGAATGAAGCAAAATTTAAAATGAGACAAATGTCAATGAATAAGAATTGTAGTGACGTTAGGTTGGTATCAATCGCGTATAGAATAATAACTGAGGCAAATTCGGTAAGACTGTAACACAGCATGAGTTTAAAAACACCGAAAGATGTCACCAGAGCGGCACGGCCCTCTTTAATTACTTCAGTGGTGCATGAAATGTTAGGTTCTTGTGAAGTAAAAGGTGAAGCAACACTTGATTCGGCTTCTGAGAGCGAAATTCCGACATTTGCCGCCTTGAGGGCGCCACAATCGTTGGCACCATCACCACACATGGCTGCAACACTTTAAATAATAAAAATCCCTAATTCGTTGTTTGTCATTTACCAACATAGTAGCCTAAATTTTGTAACTCTTCAACTAATTGTTGTTTTTGTAAACCAGACATTCGGGCAAAAACAACTCCTTTTGTGAGTATTTTGGGTATATGTTCGGGGAAGTACCGATTGAGGTCAGTCCATGTGTTCCCCGTCACGACTAAATGATACTTTCGCTCCGCTATTTTTTCAATATCTTCGATTTTGGTACCAGTGGGCGTGGCGTCAGTTTCTTGGTACTTCACAGTCGCCATGTCTGTTTTGGTTGGTTTGGTTGTGATGACGTCAATGACGCTATAGCCCGATTGGATGATTCCACAGTCACGTGCCACACTCACAGCCGTCTGGATGTTATCCCCCGTCACCATGACAATCTTCATTCCGGCGTTTCGTAACTTTTGGATGACACTCCCGGTTTGGGGTTTTAACCGGTTTTCGAGGACTATCAAACCGACGAATTGAAGGTCGCATTCGATTTCTTCCCGTTGCAATTTAGGGATTTTGTGGAAGGGGATGTTGGTTAGTTTTTTGGTACCCATACCGATGACGCGGTACCCTTGCTCAGTGTAGGTTTTGAGCCGGTTGAAGATTCCCTCAGGGACGGTTTCTGGTTTGGAAAGGGAGATGATCATTTCGGGGGAACCTTTAGTGAAGGATTCGAAGTAGTCGGAACCCAGGGTTCGGCAAATAACACTCATACGTTGCAGAGTTGAGGAGAATTGGTACTGATGGATGAGGCCGATTTCGATGTGGGGGGTGTCGGGGGAGTTTTCTTTGAGGATTGTGGGTACCAAAAGATCGTATTTGGAGGTGTCCGAGATGGTGGGTTCCTCCAGAATCCAACCAGTTGACTCAAACATCTAGAAACAAGTCCTGATTTGAATTTTACACAAGGAAATTTTTACCTTGATATCCAGGGGATCCCCACACAGTTCCCCGTCGATCAACGTCAACGAATGACATGTCAACATTCCCCTGAAAAGTAGGGAATTTTTCGACATTGCTTTTATTTCCTTGACTGGTTTTTCAATCCTGCTGTCTTCAACCGGTACCACCCCCCACATATCTAATCCATCTTCGGTCAAAGTTCCTGTCTAAACAACACAATCAAAAAAGTCAAGCACAAATCATTACCAACCTTATCAAAACAAACACAATCAACGGAACCGGAAACGTTAATTACTCTCGAATTTATACAATAAATGTGTTTCTTTTTTAACCGATTTAAAGCGTAGAGTTTGCCAACGGTCATGGCAGCTGGGAGGGCAGGAGGAATGGCTATTGTGACCAAATCGAGGGCCTTGATGAGGATATCCAGAGGTGCAATGTCTCTAGAATACTACAAAAAATAAATGTTGAACTTGAAATGGAGTGGTACCTTGGAAAAAATTGTGTAAAAGAACCCCAACAAGGCTATAACTGATAAGATCATGATAAATTTATAGCTGTCTTGATCAAATTTGAAATCAGCCGGTGGTGGGTATATTATACTCCTCACTAATTGACCCTTAGTGGTCAAGTACCCGGTTCTAATAACCACAGCAAGTACCGGTTCGGTGCCATAATACCGAGTCTGTATTATTTTGGTACCACAAAATAACGTATGGTTCCCGTGTTCCTTAACATGGTATAATTTATCGTTGTTTGGAAGTGCTGTTTTGGTGACAGGTACCGACTCTCCTAAAACGGTACCACATTACTTCAATACAACTTTTTGATGAAATTTAGTACCCGTGAGCATACTTTCGTTCACTATACAGTTACCATTGAGTAAAACAGCATCGCATTGCATGTCACAACCATGCGATGGTATCACAATTACGTCACCCGGTACCAATTCGGTTGTTGGTATTTCGTCAAAAGTACCATCGCTCCGACTTACCATGATTTTGTCAGCGGTGTTTACGGTACCTTTGAGGTTTTCTTGGCTCTAGAAAAAAACAATTTATTATTTTACTACCACTACAGTGGTAGTAGTACCTTTCTGGTTTGTATGATAGAAGTCGAAATGCCAAAAACGGACATTATTACTATTGCTATGGTGTAGTAATAGTAGGCTTCGGCAAACCATACTACAAGACTGAAAAGTTGGAAGATGTAAAAGGGAGTCAAAGCTTCAAGGACTAAAAGGGTGAGGATGCTTTGCACAGGTACGTTGATTTCATTGGTACCATAAGTGATTCGTTTTAAATTTTGTTCGTCTTTTTTGTAACCTTTCTGGTCATGAAACTCTCGACATGCTATGCCTTTGTCTAAACCTGACAATTTGATAAATTTGTACTTTTCGTCATCCCAGACATAGGTCAGTTTTTTGCACCGTACAATTCGTACTTTTGGGAGTCCTAAAAAAGTAAAAAGTGTTTTTTTTTTTGCTACTTGAAGCTAAATTATGTACGTTTTCGACTACCGTCATGTAGATAGACATCAAGAAGGTTTCTTTCTGTTTCATTTTTAAAAATAAGGCCATTTATGCTAATAATACTATCGGTTTTCCTCAATTCATTTCCGGTACTAGTCAAAATTTCAACATCTTTCACAAAATACGTCTTGAATTTGTTCTTGTATTTATCCTTGAAACAACAGTTTTTATAATTGATAAGTGTAGCTTAAGGGTACTCACAGTGATTAGTACTTTCTCTGCTCGGCCTAAAGGACATTTAGAATGGCTCGCGTACAACTGCCATTGCGGGTACCAATGAAAAATAAGTCTCAATATTCCAAAAGTGAGGACATAGAACGTCCACGTGATACATTTCTTCAAGTTGTTGGACGTGTAACCAGAAATTTCCTAAAAAATACAATGACTTTCGAGGGGAAGTACCGATTATTATTTATACCATTTGGTCTTCTTCCCCGAAATTGAGGTAGTGTGTTTTAGTTTTATTGTTTGATACGGTGCCATTGTGTTTTGAAGTTATTCCATTTCGTGTTGTCGTACCTATAAAATTACACGTTAATTAAGCTAACCACAAAATAAACTTTTCAGAATGCTATTACGTTTTATAATTTTTGGCGTAAAAAATGATTTGACACTCCCGAGTTGTGTGTTTGATTTTTTCTACCACCATGTTAATAGGCGCGAAGGTAATTTCTTGCAGTTCAAGGTGCTGAACTTTTGGAATCTGTTCCTCTTTTTTTAACAACTATTACAATTTCCGGTTATTTTAATTATCTAACGTCACAAGTTATTAATAAACTTTGACTTTCTTATTAATTATAATTATATTATTATATTATTATAATTTCTCAAATAGTTTCTAAATATTATGTCACGTGTCGCGTATTGTTTTTTATCATTCTTAATGGTCTTAAGATTAAAAAATCCTTTAATCAGGTTATATTTTTGGTAAAAACAAAAATTTGCAAATGCAGTTTAATCTGGTCCAAACGAGGTTAAAACAGTATTTTAAAGAATTTCAAACAGAAAATTTTATTAACAAGTAATAAAATTTTTAATTTGGTTTTAAAATTAATTGATTTCAGAAAGTTATATATTGATTTTTGATCTCTGTCTCGAGGAATATAAATTCATAAAGTTGTTAAGAATCAATTAATGGATATGTTGCAATGTTCCGAGTAAGTTTTATCAGTAAATTACCAAATAATGCACGTTTTGTTTGTTTATTTATCGATTATGTATTTAAAATACACACTTTTTATCTTTAACTTTATCAGTTTTCAAATTTTTGCTTTCTTTGTTACATTACAAGGAAATTTAGTTTAATATGTGTCACCAAAGAAAATAAAGAGGATTTAAATCGGTATTTCCTGGTGGCCTAATTTTTCTACGAAAATTTAGAAGGTGAAGAGATTTATTTTAAATTTCCAGATTTCAGAACTCCAGATAAAATCAATGTGGTATAAGTCTGCACCTTCCGGTGGCTTCTACCAACTTTCTTGAATTCTTGCATGTCTTCGGCGCGTGTTTCTAAATGCGCAACAGTTTCATAATTCAACCTAAATTTTTAATCTCTGATCGATCACAAATCTCGTGAAAGTGAATCATTTGAAAAAATTTAGTGACCCATAAATGACACCCTGGACTAAAACAAGCTGGCAATTTATCATAATTAGGTGACCTTGGATATCATAGGTCGCTAGATTCAATAATATGAGCGATTATATCATAACTCTCTTCCGCATTTCGGATTTTTTTAATGAAAAAAATTTGTGGTTTTCTGAATGAGGGATGGATTTTTGCGATTTTTTTTTGTTTGGAGTCCAGTTTTGTTTTTTTTTTGAAAATTGTACTTACTTTTCCCACCAAATTCCTTCACCATACCGCAATAACGGCAACACGATTTGTATTGTATGAAATTATTAACGAAACACTTTCACTTTAGAACATGAGTGGAGTCGGTCTTGTGAAAAACCGTACTGGCATGGTTTGCACACATTTGACAATACCTTGTCGTTTAAAAAAGAAGGGGAGGACATTTAATTTATTCGCAAATAGACACCCAATTATGTTTTTTTCTTTGTTATATTTATTGTCTTATCTTTATGATTTTACAATCCTGCATTAGACTTAGACTTGGTTTTATCTTTTTGATAAGAAATTAGAATTTCTAATTGGGTTTTTTTGAATTGGTCAAAGGTAGAAGTGGGTACGATTATTAGCTTTCTAGTAGGAACCAGTTTTGTTTACGCAAATGTTTTTTTCAATATTTTTGGCAAATATTTTGATGGCGAATTTTAAATTACATAAAGTGCGGTTTTGTTACCGTTTGCATGATTTTATCAAGGTCATAGTTGTCATTAGTGCAACATAATAACAAACATTAACATAATAACTGTTTTGTGTAAAATTTACTTTCAGGTAGGTTCTTTGTGGTTTCACAAAAATATAATAGGTATTTAGGCAAACAAATTACGTAAGAGACTTGCAAGAGCCCTGTAGTCTTCTGTCGAGAGGAACCTTGAGAAATTTGTTTATTTTTGATTTTTTTTTCAAAACATAAATTGCTAATACAGTGTGAGCGTAAAGTATAAATACAGGGTGAATTTAAAAAAAACGGTAGGCACTGTAGAATTTTTATTTATGGCCCGATTTAAAAAGTTAAAAATAAATTAAATGGCTTTTAACATAATATTAGCTGATATTTTTAGAATTTTTTTTAAAGTCATTGTTTATTTTTGGCTATATTCAACTTTCTAATTTTAAATAGGGACTCATTTTTTTTTTCATAATTTGGAAGATACAGGTTGTCCCTGTATCTCTAAAAAGAGTTGAAAAAGTTCATTAGTGACTTTTAAATGGTAAAGTTAAAAAAATTGTATAGGACATTGATAGATGCATCACCTAAAATTATTTTCAACCATACAGTATGTCCTAAAAATAAGTTACGATACAAACTTGTGTTTTTTTTTAAATGAAACACCGTATACAGGGTGATTCAGCTTAAATGAGCCACCTGACTCCTCTTGGCAGACAACACATAAGACATTATGCACTTATTCCTTGATTCAAAATTAAATTTTCAAAATATCGAGAATCAAAGATTCTCGATTCATGAAACTTTTAAAATTCGAATATGAATCAAGGAATAATTGCTTTGTGTATTATAGGTTGTCTGGCAAGAGGGGTCTAATGGGTCATTTAAGCTGAATCACCCTGTATTTCTTGGCATTTTTAATGTAGCCTTCTAAAACAATGTTTTTACGCTAAAATTTATTAGTAGATTTCGCTTAGTTTTAGAAATAAGACGTTTTTTTTTGACGAAAACATGCACTTTTTAAAAATTTATTACAGAAAAACTAAAACAACTAGAACAAATTTTATCTTACTTCTGCAAAAAAGAAAGTACAGAATTTAAAGTTGTAGCAATTTTTTAGTGTTTTGCATTTGTAAAGATTAATAAATTAAGTCGTTTCTTAAAAGTTAAGTAACTTAAAAAAATTAAATGGAACACCCAATATTTTATTTTTGCTTCTAATAGATTGATAAATTGTCTATCTAAACAAATAAACTTTTAATGTCTAGAATTGATAAATGAAATGATATTTAACATTATTTTTTAACATTTATCAATCAATGTCTGAGCATTGTTGATACTATGGCAACTATATAGTAATTCCACCACGGATCACTTATCAGTTGATTTATCCAGAGATTGTAAAAGTCGTTATAAATACTGTAATTTGAATTATTTTATTGTAAAAATAAACAATAATGGATTCAGTTTAACACAAATGTGATTATTAAGTGATATTTCTTCCATTTCTTGTGCATCTGTACACTTTTTGTCTACTGAACAATAGTAATTATTTTTTTTAATGTTTAACGTTAAATATCTTTTTAGTTATTGGTTATAAACACCTAAAAGTAAATAATTTTAGAAAGACAATTAATTTTTTTAATGCAAAAACAATACATAGGGTGTTTTATTAATTTTTTTTAAGTTATTGTACTTTTAACAAACGCCTTATTTTTTATTTTTGCAAATGCAACACACTAAAAAATATCACAACCTTTTGGCTTGTATTGTCTTTTTTTCGGTAAAAAAAATATTTTAAGATGTCTTAGTTTTTGTGTAATACATTTTTAAAAAGTGCATGTTTTCGTCAAAAAAACGTGTTATTTTTAAAACTAAGCAAAATCGACCAATAAAAGTTAAGCTTAAAAACATTGTCATAAAAATCTACATCCAAAAACACTAAGAAACATTTAATTTAAAAAAAACACAAGTTTGTATTGTAACTTATTTTTGAGACACGCTGTATAGTTGAAAATAATTTTAGGCGATGGAGTAAATTAATATTTATCAATGTCCTATATATTTTAATTTTACCATTTAAAGGTCATTAAGTTTTCAACTCCCTGGGACACCCTGTATTAATTTGTTTTAGTACAGATATGTGCAATATGTTCTACTTTTACTAAAAATTATTGTTGGGTAATGACATATATTCCACCTTGATTGTAATATACTATTCTTTGATGTTGCTAAGCTTTTTTTGGAAATTATACCAAGTGAGAAATTTTAGATTAATTTTTAATGTTTTTACATATGCACAAATCTAGTGACACTTAAATTATTACACTCGTAATATTATTATTTATATTTGTGGCAAGGTGAGTCGTGCAAGTATTTGGCTATTTACAAATGAAATTATCATGGAAAATCATGTTTTCAAATGATGCTTGCTCGATGTAAATTTTTTATTGTCCTATTGTTAAAATAATAAAAAGTGTAAATTAAAAAATATGTTGAACTTGAGCGAGGACGTCTGCTTTTTGACACGATGGGAAGTCTTTAATGTGCTATTTTGCGTCACCAAGTTTGAATCATTATTTAATAAAAAAAATATTGAATTATAACGTCATATGTTCATTATGTTGATTTAAATTTAAGAATTTCTCTAATTTTAATAATTGCATAACAATTGGGGTCAGAAATAGAGTGATATTGAGCGGTAATAAAAATTATGGCACGTGTGATGCAAGTGTGTATTACTAGTTGCCGTTGACAAACAATTCAAAGTGGTATTTGCATTGATTTATCCATCAAATATTCTTTTTATGATTTTATATTAAGCAACAAAGTGAAGTAGGAATAAGCCGAACTGATAACCTGCAATCAAAATTTCTAATATTTATTTAAAAAATTATTCATAATTACTCGAAGAAAGGTCGGAAAAGACATTACTCCAATATTTGCAGCATTTAAAGTTAAAGGTTTTTGCGACCTCATCAAAATCATGTAGATATCTTTTTGGACATCGACTGGTGCTTTATGCCACGGCACATAATAAATGTCCTCAGCAACTGCAATGCTCTAAAAAAATATTTTTATTTAAAATTACATAAATTAAAGAAAAATTAAATACTTCGTCTATAAGAAGTTGTCCGTAGTAACAAATAAGAAGAAGTAATACCAACCATCCAAGAAGATGCAAAGTGAATCTTAAAGAATCATTGAAGTTGTCCACAATTAAAATTTCGAAACCTAGAGCACTGATAACGAGAGATGTTAGTGTGATGTGGAGCATCATCATGGTACCGAAGGCTTCGTTTGTTTTTTCAGAGTACCTAGAATTTTTTATACCAGGTGAAGAAAGATTCAAACATTTTACTTCCACCATTTTACATTCAACAATCGTCATTCTATATTAAACATCCTATATTCAACATTCTACTTTAGACATTCAACCTTTTATATTTTACTTTCAACATTCTACCAGGTGAATAGAAAGTATGAACCAAATGTTTTTTGCTTAAACTATTTATTTTTTGAAAAAACTAATTGATGAGTGATAAAGTACTGTAAAAATGTGATAATTTAACAAGAATAAAATTTTTCGAAATTTCCTTTTGTTTTTGAGTTTATTATTTATTTAAATGGCAACCCGATATGAAATCATTTTTCTCATAAAAGCTACTCTACGGATTACAACTATGTGCTTTATATTTAATTTTTTCAAAAAAAAATTTTCACATAAATTGCAATTTTGACAAAAAAAAATTCATAACTCAAAAACAAAACAAAATTTCGTTCTGAAAATACGATCACATTTTTTATATTACTTTAATTTATATTAATTATTATTTTCTGGAGGCAAAAAATAAAACCGCTTGGTTCCGTACTTTATATTCACCCTGTATATTTTACATTTAACTTTTTACATATTGCAGTCAACATTTTATATTAATATTCAACATTCTATATTACCTTCGACGTACTATAACGAAGGTTCAAAATTATACAATCAACATTTTACACTTATTATTCTATTTTTGACATTTAGTTTTCTACATTTTACATTCAACGTTCTTCATTCCATATTAAATATTCTAGATTCAACATTCTATTTATTTAGACATTCAGTCTTCTATATTCATTCTACTTTCAACATTCAACTTTCGACGTACCTACTATAACGAGGTTTCAAATTATGCAATCAACATTTTACTCATTATTTTACTTTTGATCTTCAACTTTCTATATTTTAAATTAAACATTTTTGTATTCAAACTTGGCTCAAATGCAAAAAATGTTGAATATCGAACTTTCAATACAGATTGTTAAACGTTTACAAACAGAATGTTGACATAATAAGTAGAGTGTTGAAAATCAAATGTTTAGTGTAGGGTGTTGAATATAAAATGCAGAAAATTAAATGTAAAATGTTAAAAGTTAAAAGTACGTTTATAGCAAAATATTTATTAAAAAAAATTGTTACTGCAACATCTTAACAAACTTTTTTTACTTAAACTATTTATTTTTTGAAAAATAATAATTGATGAAGGATAAAGTATTATAAAAATGTAATATTTCTCAAGAATAAAATTTTTCAAATTGTTTTTGAGTTCTGCAGGTTTTTTTTTTAGATGGCAAACAAAGGATTACAACTATCTACATTTTATTCAGTTTTTTTTTATACAGGATGTTTCCGCATTGAGTTTACAACAGAAAAAAAAAATATCTTTGATTTTATGCCAAAACTGCAGAGGAAAAATATTTTTTGCTTTATGTGAAACGGCAAATCTCTAATTAAAATTTTATCATTCTGACTCAGTAGAAAGAAATATTAATTTTTCTTTTGATTTTGGACTTACATAATAATTTTTCTTCTGCTTATTAAGTCTCATCACATTGACGATTTTATTTTTTTGACAACGATGCTAGTTTGAGAATTATTTATTAAACTGTTTTTTTAAAGCCGTTTTTTGAGTTTTTTTTAAACATCAAACTCATTCGTTAAAGTGACATTGTTGTGAAAAAAATAAAACCGCCAACGTAATGGAATTTAAAACGCAGGAAAAAAGGCCAAAATTAAGAGAAAAATTAACTTTTCTTTCCAATGAGTGAGAATAATGAGGTTTTAATTCCAGATTTGGTGGTTTCAAGAGTTTCAGGTGAAGCAAAAAATATTTGTCTTTTGCAGTTTTGACGTAAAATCAAAGATAAATTGTTTTTAATCTTATTGTAAACCCAGTTCGGGAACATACTGTATATGTTACTATTTTGAAAAATAAATCGTAAAACTCAAAAACAATACAAAATTTCATTCAACACAATCGCGCTTATTATGTTCTCAACGGAAATGATGAATAAAATCCTTGGTTTCATAACACTAGAAAAGATCCAAAAACATATTTTTTTCCGTTTCAAACTTTTTGACGGTTTAGTTTATTTATTTTGAAACGTTTACTCACGTGATTATAGCGGTGTGAAATTTGACACAGTAGATAACATCCTTGGCAATTTTTTGGTCCGAACAATCAAAACGTTTGATAAAATTCCGTAAATGTTTCAACTGATTCGTAATATGCATTAAAAGACCACAAACCAACATTGTCAAATCCAAAATAATGACCGAAACCATTAAACAAGTGTAAAATTGATGAACGAAAACGATTTCAAAAACTGGACTATAGTCAAACTTGAATGGAAACCAACATCGAGTCACTAGACCACACGGAACATCAAAATTGCTTTTTTGGCGTTGTTGACATTTTTCAATATTAAGATACGGCATTATCATATACACAACGTTGCCAATCACGCCGTAAAAAATAAAGATTTTTGTATACAAATTGGCCCTCGTGTCTGTGTCGATAATATCCGACGCTTTGCTGTATTTGGTAAAAGCTTCAAGGTTTTTGACTAGAGATTTGACAAGTTTTCGGTTTTTGACAAAACATATTGTCATGTAAATCATGCCAATGATGCAAATCAGAGCGATCAAATTTTCAGTTATTGTAACCATGTTGTAAACATCACCTGTAATTTGCAAAACAAAGTCGGCCAAAATTGGTAAAGCACATGGCATGAGGGAAACAATCAAGGAACTGTTTTTGACAAGTGTCCATTGATCATTTGAAGGCCACAAAAATGATAGTTTTAGGATAGTTATAGTGAAACTTAGAAAAATATGCTTTCGGGTCATTGTCAAACTAAAGTTGGGAAATCAAATCTCCAATTTTATACCAGACGTTTGATGAAAGTTGCAACATCGCGTGTAAGACGTTCGACTTACTTTATAATCTTGATGTGATAGACTATAATACGTCGAAGTTTTTTCTTCAGAAATTCTCTTTCAGTTTCTTCATGTAAATTCTGAATCAGTCTGCGACAATTTTTTAATTGTGTCAAAATATGCATCATTATCCCGACCAGTGTCATTGTCAAGACAATAACATAGTAGCTGATGACAACACAAGTATACACTTGGATGAAATATGCCATTGGAAATAATTTTTTTGACACATCAAAAGGGTAAAAACAACGTGCCATCAACCCGCAAGGGTCTCTTTCGACAAACAATTGCGACTTCCGGAGCGATTCGCAATTGTTTCGTTCACGCAGGGGTGCCAAACAGTTCATTAAATTGCCAAAAAACCAGTAAACTGTGACAGCTAATAAAAAAATGACAATCTAGTGATTGGTATCAAAATAAAGTATACTCTTTTTCATATTAATGTGCATCAAGTAGGTTATACAGGATGTTCTGTCTAAACCCCACATTAAAAGTATTGGGAGTTCGAATAATCATATTTGTTTGAAAATTGGTACATAGCCATAATGCATTAGGTCCTCCTAAACAAAAATATTTTCAAGATGTCGGCGCTTCCGGTTATACCGGAACTTTCTTATTTTAAATGAAAAGGTATATTTTTTACTACGTCTTTGGATTAATCGGGTCACTTTAAGGGAGTTTTTATCAGCTTTTGAAATATTTGGAGTTTTTCAAAAATTTTTGCATTTGCACCTTCCACTTTAAAAATAGGTAACTCTGCTATTTTTTAAAATTTTGAATTCGTTTTTTTGGCGTTTGAAAGAGAAAGTTTCGATCTTTCTTTCGGTGCTTTCAAATTTTGAAAAAAAAAAATAACAAACCCTAAAATTTTAAGGTTACCTTTGTAATAATTCAAATACCCATAACTCAATTTTTTCGAATGAAATTCGGCAATTTTTATTTTACTAAATGGAACGGAATTTAATTCTACATCGATCTGTATTAACATTCCCTATACCTAAATTTAATAATTTTTAAGCTATGGTGACTTTTTGTTAAGACTGCCGAAAATTTATTACTTGTCACATTCGTTTTCGTATAGTTTGCTATGGAAATCAAAAATGTCAAAATTGTTTCTCAATAAACGTCGACAGTGAMTTATTATTTGACAAATAGTGCCAAAATATCGAGAGTCAAAGCTACTCAAACTTAGATTTAATTAATTTATTTTGTATTTATGGAGAGTGTAACAAAATTATGATGTCGTCCATTAAACAAAAATAAATTTTCACTTGTTAGCTTTAAATAATGATCGCATGGTAGAACCTATCAATAATAATTAAGTTTGCATAATTTTGATTCTTCATATTTTGGCACTATTTGTCAAATAGTAATTTACTGTTGACGTTTTTTAGAGAAAATTTTGACATTTTTGACTTCCATAGCAAACTATGTGAAAGCGGGCGTGGCTAGTAATAAATTTTCTGTAGTGCTAACAAAAAGTCCATAACTTGAAAATTATACCTAGGTATTAGGTATAGGGAATGTTAATACAGATCAATGCAGAATTAAATTCTCTTCCATTTAGTAAAATAAAAATTGGGGTATTTCATTTGAAAAAATTGAGTTATGAGTATTTGAATTATTACAAAAGTAACCTTAAAATTTTGGGATATATATTTTTTTTCAAAATTTGAAAACACCAGAAAAACGATCTGAGCTTTCTCTTTCAAACGTCAAAAACACGAATTCAAAATCTTAAAAAATGGCAGAGTTACCTATTTTTAAAGTGGAAGGTGCAGACCCAAAATTTTTTAAAAAACTACAAATACTTCAAAAACGGCTAAATTTAGGCATAGGGAAAGCTGTTAAAAACTCCCTTAAAATAACCCGATTAATCCAAAAACGCAGTAAAAAATATACCTTTCCATTTAAAATAAGAAAGTTGAGACCGACTTCCGGTATAAGCGGAAGTGCCGCCATCTTGCAAATATTTTCATTTAGGAGGACTTAATGGTTTATGGTTATGTACCAATTTTCAAATAAATACGATTATTCCAACTCCCAATACTTCTAATGTGGGGTTTACACGGAACAGCCTGTAGAAGTTAATTTAAAGACCGATTCACACAACAACTCATTAATGTCATTCAGAACAAATTAAAAATATCAATAATGACGTATTTATGTTTGCTACCCGTTGTTAATTTTAATTATTTTTATTTGAAAAAATAATTTTTAGGGAAGATTGGTTGAATTTTTGCATGGTTGTCATCTTAAAATGTCAACGACTACTTCGATGCACATTAATATGAAAACGAGTATAATAAACATTACCTTTACTGTACTTTTGGACTTTTTCTTCAGTCGCTTCAATTTCAAATTTTCCGCAGAACTTTTCAAACGTTGGTAACTCCTCAATAAGGCTTGTGACGTTTTGAATTTTATTTAGAAAACAATATCTCATGTAAATACTACCGATGAAATCAATCGTTGCGATTACTCTTTGGATGACGACATCGTAACCGTCAGATTCGGCGAAAAGTGGACGAAAAACACCATAAATGCAAGTCCATGCACTGAAATAGACGATGATAAGGAGTGATAAGCTTTTGAGGTGGTAATTGAGGGTCATGTGGCCGTTTGGAGGCCACAACATTATCAGTTTGAGGGAGAAAACGTTGAATTTTAAGTGTTGCACTTGCGACATTTTGGGAGGGAATGAGGATTGAGTTGTTTGAGGATGAAAGCTTGTCATTGGAGCTTTTGATGAAAAATTCATTTCCTGTCGATCAGTTTGAAGACTGTTTTATCCTTGATTTATGCGAAATACAGGGTGTTTTTGTTTTTTGGTTCACCATTTTGTAGCATGACGTAAAGCGTATGAGTGCGTTAATTTTTGAGTAAATTTTTTTTTTAATAAAATATTTTTATTTTTTAAACCGAGTACAGAGTTACTCTTTATTATTGTTATTATACAGTTTTCTTTCGGTGAATTTCACTTTGTACCCTTTCTTTGGTTTAGCTACAATATTGTAGAAACATTCGATTTCTTCAATGGAGTTGTATATAGCCGGTTCAAACGTGAAGTTTTTCAACAGTGTTGCCAACATAACTTTCATGGAAAGCATCGCAAATTTGAAACCTATACAATTTCTTGGACCGAAACCAAATGGCATATAAGCACAACGAGAGCGATTTATTTCCTCCTTATTTAAGAATCTTTCAGGATTAAATTTCTGAGGGTTTTCCCACAAATCGGGCGAATCGTGGATATTTTTTATACTAATAATTATGTTACTGCCAGTTGGGACAGTGCAATTTTCTGTAAAATTAGAATTTGGTGATTTTTTTAAATTTTTTTTGTATTAATACCTAAATGGAGGTCTTCGGTCATTATTCTGTTAATATAAGGAACAGTTGGTAATACTCTCATTACTTCTTTGATAACAGCTTCAAGATAAACCATTTTGTTGATATGTTCCAGAGTTATTTCATTGTCATTATTCCACAAAATTGAATCAAGTTCTTCGTAGATTTTTTCCTAAAACTGGTCTCAGATTTGTTCAAAATTTTTTATAAAACCAACCTGAACTTCTGGGAAAATTGCTAAAACGAGTAAAATCGAACTCATTGTCAAACCTGTTGTTTCACTAGCTGCTAGTAACATAGTTTGAGTTTCTTCTAAAATATCCTCATCGTCAAAATTTTCAGACATTTTAAGGAGATTATTCAAGAAATGTTTCTTTTTCAAATCAACTGAAAAGTCATCGTTACACTTTTCTGGTTGCTGTTTTTTTGTATTTATCATCTGAAAATGATTGATTAAAATTGTTTAACATTTTTACAAAAAAAAATACTTTTCGGACAAAAGCCAAAATGTTGTTGGAAGTGGCTTGGGTTAGTTTTCCAAGGGGGGAAAGATTCCAAAGAAATTCAGGATGGTACCACACCCCTATCATGCGAATTGATGAGAATTTTTCAGCCCTGAAAATTGATTTCAGTTGTTGTGAATTGACTTTCGTCGTTTTTTACTTGATACAATCATTGATGTATTCGTCTTGCCCGGTGATTAAATCAGCGTCAACATCCATCAAAGTTTCTGAAAAGTAATCATGACTTTTGTCAAAAAACCTGAAACTTACCACATGATATATCAACGGTGCTTCGGAAAAGCCAATAGGAAATATCAACTGATTTATTGCTAGAATGATTTCGCATTCGTTCGACTAATTTTTGCGCATGTTTATTAAAAACGTCGATAAATGAGTTCAAAATTTGTATATTGAATGACGGGTTTATGATTTTTCGGTGCCCTTTCCACTTAATTGCTGAAAGAATTATTAATTTTGGGTTAAATTTAGAATGTTTTATACTTACCAGGAGAGGTTAGTAACCCATCCCAGAACACTGGAGCCATAAATCTGGCAAATGTCCCTTTCGTGAAACATTTATTCAAAATAATTTCACAATCTTCGGGTCGCGAAGTCACAAAAATTAAATCTTGCCCCAACCAGACTTTGAAACGTGGTGGCTGCGATTTGGTCATCCGCAACATTGCTTGATACATATCTAAAAAAAATAGTTATGTCTATAAATAAATGTTAAAAAAATAATAAATACACTATATTTAAATTTGTAGAAAAAATCAAGAAATAATACTGCTCCATTTTTGAAAAAAAAATATTTTTTTTAAATTTGTAAAAAAATTCAAGAAATAATACTGATTCATAAAAAAATCAAAAATACTTTCTTGAAATTGTTTCATTTTCAAGTTTAACTAACACATAATTGTAAAAAAAGTTGAAAAATAGTATATTAAAGTATAAGTTGCATCACAAATTGGAGTTGAGGAACAAATGAGTGCTTGAAGAACCTTCTGCAACAAGTGCTTTATACTATTTTTTTTATTTTGCCACTTCATGACATTTTATAAGTTAAAAGACGAAATTTTCTTTTTTCTACGGAATTTTGCGACGATTGACGACATTTATATGGAATAATTTTAGGCGGCTGTGAAAAATAAAAGTAATTTTTATTTTTACATTTGAAAATGTAAAAGTGAAGAAAGTCCGTCACTAAAATTAAATTAACGCCAACGATTTATTAAAGAACTCAAATGACGTGATTTGGGTGCTGGAATATACTTATTCTAAACGCAAAATAGAAAAAAATTGTTTTTTTGATCTTGATGAAGATTAGGCAATGCTCAGAAACAATACTGCTTAATTTTTGAAAAAAAATCAAAAAAATGTTTTTAATTTTTTGTTTAATTTGTAAAAAAAATTAAGGAACAACACTGTTTTATTAAAAAAGAATCTGAAACATTTTCTTGAAATTTTTTCGATTTTTTTTAAATTTAACTAATAACAATTGTAAAAAAAAAGTTGAAAAAAAATTATTTTCTTTTTTGATGAAGATAAGACAATGCTCAGAAACAATATGTACAATTTTTTGTTTAATTTTTTTATCAAGAAACAATTTTTGAAAAAAAAATTTAAAAAATGTTTCTATTTTTTTAAGTAAAAAAATTCAAGAAACAACACTGAATCATAAAAAAAATCAAAAATATTTTCTTGAACTGTATTTTTTTTTTAATTTTAACTAATAACTTACACAATTGTAAAAAAAGTTGAAAAAAAAATGATTTTTTCATTTTGATAAAGATAGATAATGCTCAGAAACGATGTATATTTATGTACAATTTTTTCTTTAATTTTTTTGTATAACTTTGATTAATTGGTCGGAAAAAAAGGTTTGATGGATCGATTTAAAAATTTTCAGTGCTATGGGGCTATGTTAAGCTGTAAAAAAACTGAGAACAGTTTCAGCAAAAAAGTTATTTTTTTTTTCATTTTTAAGTTTGAGTTGAGGGTAAAAATTTTTGTCTCAAAAAATCGTAAAACGATTTTGTATTAAATAAGACATTTATTCCAATTTTTGACACTATCCTTACTTTCTCTGTGTGGTTATTGGTTGCTGAAATATCAATAATCAATTGAACAAAGACAAAATGATCCTTTTTCATTTAAAGTCACATATCTTAGCGACAAATTGATGTTAAAAGAGAATATAAAAAAGCTGAATAAACAAGCTTTCCAGCCCAAGCATTGATTTAGCTAAAAATTTCCCAAGTCCGTGCCAAAAACAAAAAAAAAACAATTTTTTTCTTACGTTATTTCTTAGGATTGCGTGATAACCGTAGCACCGAAAAAATTTTGCCAAAAGATTTCAAAACTAGAAACTTAAAGCTTCAAAATGTTTTTTTTTTCTAGATATGACCATTTTTGAATTAAATACAGCCTTCCAAAAATCACTATAAAATTTAATTTAGTTTCTCCAATGTTTTGGAGTAGCGTGTTATAATATAATAAAAATATTAATAAATAATGTCACTAACCGTCGTATCCTCCCAGAAAATAATGGGCACTTCCGATTAGAGGCCATGATGATGGTCCTGGTAGTTTGGACGAATGGTAGTAGAGCCATCTTCGGTTCCAGTGATATTTAATGAAGAAAACCAGTACCAACACTGAAATCACTAATGAAAGGATTGTTGTGACAGTAAACTCGGTTCTCTCCATTTTAGTTTTGTTGTTACTGTACGTTTAGAATTATTTAACAACATTTATATCAGCGATTTAAAAACGGGGGAAAATTATTATAAAAACCAAAACGTAGAGCTGTTTGACCTAAATAGTCTTCTGATCAAGTTTATGGTCGCTGTTTTGTAAGCGAGATGACATTGGCTTGATCACTTTTACACACTTAAACAAATTACTATTAATTTCATAATTGCATTTTGTAATAAATAGATTTTGTACTAAATTGTTTCTCTTTTTTTGTATTAAAATAAATAGTCAAGAAATTGAGTTTGTTAAAGATTTTTGTAATGGAAAATTGTCAGTAAACCAGTTATAATTGGCCTTCGTGATTTACTCATTGCTCAAGTAAAATTATTGAATTTTATGCTCAATTTCGTTTTAAAAACCTACTTTCGGTTTTTTAATTACTTGAACATATTTGTTTCAGTTTTAAGATTGTAAAATAAATACGTTAGAGTGTACCAAAAGTCATTTCGATTGTATGTCAAAAGGTTACAGTTGTTTACACTCCCTGGCTTTCACTTACTTAAAATTTTTCACAATGGCACTTGGCAATTCCCAATTATGTTGAAATAATTTTTTTTTCAAGTGGGAAGTGGAATTTCGGTGTAATACGGAACTTAATATTGCGGAAACTATTATTTTTTTTGCATAAACTTTATTTCAGCCTTGATGTCACTTAGATTCTTCCTCAGTTGAAATAGAAAAAGCTGAACTATAAGGATAAGGTAATCAGGAAGTGATGTTACCTTCGATTGTAGTATTTATTTTTTATATAACAAAATAAAAACATTTATTTCAGACTGTCTAGTAGATTTATTTAACTTCCCTTTTTTATTTATTGTTGCACTTTGTGTAAATTTCTTTACAAGTTCTGAATTTAGTAAAATTTCTGATTCAGTATTATTGTTGGTAAATTTAAAAAAAAGTATCAAAACACTCAAAAAAAAATTATTTCCACTTCTTTTAAAATTTTACAAGGAAGAAAATCATGCTTAAAAATATACGAAATGTGAATTATAAAATGTGCAATTTGAAACCGAAATTTTATTGAAATATTAAATTTAAATTCATGTAGGTACAATTGAATATGGCATTATAAAAAAATAATTCAAAATATAATGGCAATAAGTTGATAAGTCGATCAAATTAGTTCATTGTGATTCCAATTAAATATTCTTTAAACAGTATAAAAGCGACCAAAGCTAATACCACTTTTAGTAGAAATAACCCCAAAATGGTGCTCAAAAATTTCGACATCACGTCTATTTTGTGTATTTGCTTGACTTTGATTATTGCTTTTATTATAAAGTACAACTGGGATAGACGATGGTTGTATTATTATGGGTCTAAGATAGCCGGACCCTTTGGTTGGCCCATCATCGGAAGCGCCCATTATTTCTTCGGAGGTCAAAAAGGTACAAAAATTTAAAATGAACTAAATCACAACTTGTTTTTCAGTTTTCTTTAAAACTATGACGCAACTCTTGGAATCATATCCTGAAGTTGCAAAAATTTGGTTTGGTAACAATTTGATAGTGTCAGTTTCACGACCTGAAGATGTTGAAATTATTTTGAATAATTGTCTCGAGAAACCGAAAATTTATAACTTTGCATTCAGTTTAGTCGGAAATGGGCTTCTAACAGCACCAGGTTAGTGTGAAAAAGTATTAAAACATAATGATTTTTGTGTTAAAGTTGATATTTGGAAGATCAGAAGGAAAATGATTAATCCGACTTTTAACACAAAAAATTTAAATTCATTTGTGGAAATTTTTGGAAAACATGCAACTTACTTGGCAAATGTTTTTGAAGAAAACTGTGGAAACGAATCGTTTGATATCTTATCAAAATTGTTTAGTTGCACGTTTGATATTGCTTGTGGTAAGTATTTTGATAACTTAGGCTCTGATTATATGGAAAATGCATATTTGTTATTAAGAGGTACATCAACAAATTTGTAAGTTTTTTATGCATATTTAATGTTTTTTGATTAAAATAAGGGAATTAAAAAATGCATATTTTGGCAACTTCGTGCATATTTTAGGAAATTACAAAATTGCAATATACAATTAATATTGTAAGTTCTTTTGGGTTCTGCCTGTTAAAGGGTTAAAGAAAATCAGAAAGTTTTAGATTATTTTACACATGCAGGGTGAATATAAAGTATGGAACCAAGCGGTTTTTTTTTAATTATTTGCCTCTGGAAAATAATAATTAATATAAAATAAAATAATATAAAAAATCTGATCGTATTTTTAAAACGAAATTTTGTTTTGCTTTGAGTTATGCGATTTTTTGTCAAAATTGTAATTTATGTAATTTTTTTTAAATTAATAAAAAGTAGATAGTCTCTAACACAGTTGTTTTTGTAAGAGTATACAAAACATTTTCTTTTAGTGGGTTTCCATTAAAAAAAAATAAAATTTTTGTAGAACTGAAAAAGAAAAACAAAAAATTTGAAAAATTTTATTCTTTATAAAACAATTAGTTAAAAAAAAATAAATAGTTTAAGCAAAAAATGTTTGGGTCCATACCATTCACTTGGTATAGTATATAAAACGAATAAATCCTTCTATGTGGATAAGTAGTTGCCTGCAAATGAATTTTAGCAAAATTATTTAAAGTGATGTAATAGTAACTTTATTTTGACGTTAACATGTGATCTGAAAAGTACAGATTTCTTAGAAAGGCTTAATTAGTAGGTTATTGAAATGGTTTTCAAACCAATTTATTTATTCTCTTTTTTTCATCGTGTGCGGTTTAAGATGATGAAAATACAAACTTTAGTGTACTCGAGGATACAAATTTATTCTAACTTTTTTATTGTTAAAAGTTTTGCATATTGATGCATATTTGGCATATATTTTGTGCATATTTTTGTGAAAATACGTGCATATATATGCGCATATTTTACGGATTTCTCGTGCATATAATCCGAGCCTTATTGATAACTATTTTTATGTTAAAACTATTTATTGATTCAGAAACGCTTGCTGACGTTGATAACACTACGTTTCATGGCCAAGAAACGTTTTTTCGAAATTTATTAAGGTAATCTTTGTTAATTTTGTCTAAAAGAATTAAAGGAAAAGGAAAAATTACTGTTTGCTTTTTTAGAATAGAAGATCTTCTAACAATTCGTGCATGTTCTATTTGGTTTTATGTAGATTTTTTCTGGAATAGGTCTTTGCTTGGTAGAGAAACGGACAAAACGTGTAAAGAAGTGTATTCTTTTGCAAAACACGTAATTTTAACTCTCAAAAAATTAAACTAATTTGAGCAATTTTAGGTGGTTTCTGAAAAATCAACTTTAAACCAAAATTCAAATGAAGGTATGAAAAATTTTTACGATGTGGTGTTTTTATTTTGGTTTTAGATAACAATCATAACGAAAAACGATTCATAAACCATTTGTTAACATTGAGTGAAACAAATTCTGAAATCAACAAAACAGCTTTAGAAGATGAAACTCAAACTCTTCTGCTCACTGCCAGCGAAACTACAGCTCTTACAGTTGGAATTACTTTAATAATTTTAGGGATATATCCAGAAATACAAGTAAAAAATAAACTCAACATAGCTATTTACATAATAGTAAAAATTTAAGGAAAAAATTAGTAAAGAACTCGAATCGATTTTTGGTAACGATGATAGAAAGCCAACTTTAGAAGACATTCACAAAATGGAATATTTAGAACGTGTGATTAAAGAGACTTTAAGATTATTTTCGCCTGTACCATTTGTTTTAAGAGCAGTTGACCAGGATGTAAAACTTGGTATGAAAAACACACAACAAAAATAGGTTTCAAACATTACTTGTAGATTCTTGCACAATCCCCACTGGAAGTATTGTCTTGATTCCGATATATCACATTAGCAGAAAACCTGAATTTTGGAAGGAACCAAATAAATTCGATCCTGATCGATTTTTACCAGAAAATAGTTTGAATCGCCATCGTTGCACTTTTATTCCCTTTAGTTTCGGACACAGAAATTGCATTGGTTTGTGTTAAATTGAAAATGTTTTGTTTTTAAATTTTGCACTTACAGGCTTTAAATTCGGCATGATGTCAGTAAAAGTTTTGTTGTCGACAATTTTAAGAAAGTACACTATTAAACCATCTGTGTATAAAAAATTGGAAGATGTCGAAATGATATTTGGTGTGGTGGCCAAACCAGCATCAGGTTACAAGGTAAAATTAGAGGAAAAAAAAATTGAAAAGTGATAATTTCCCAAGCATAAATAAAAGTACTAGAGTAAAAATTTTCGTTTTATTTAGAAAAATCAAATAGGAATTAAGCACCTTATTCCCAATTAAAAATATGCAAATTAATTAAACTTTTTTATATTATAATTTTTCACTTCAAAATAAATAAACTATAGGTTTTGTGTTTTCAACAATTATTTATAGGACTTCTTTTACTTTCACCCTTTACATTTTTCTTCTCCAGTTTGATTTTGCATCCCAATGTTGGTTTTGTTACCATACTGTAAATCAGTTCAACATCTTCTAATTTTTGATATTCCGATGCCTTAATCGTATATTTTCTCAAAATGGTCAATAATACAACTTTCATTGACATCATACCGTATTTGAGGCCTAGAAATAATATAATTCATTTAAAAATCAGAGGAATTTCATGTTTGTACCAACCTAGACAATTTCTATGTCCATAACTAAAAGGAATAAAAGAGCAACGATGGCGTTTGGAATTATTTTCAGGTAAAAAGCGATCGGGATCAAATTTATTTGGATCGTTCCAAAATTCAGCTTTTTTGTGAATGTGACAAATCGGAATCACTACAATACTTCCAGCAGGGATTGTGTGCGAGTCTAAGGGATTTTTCATTACTTTAATTTACAAAATTTTTGTCTTACTCAGTTTTATTTCTTTGTCAACTAATCTCGCAATAAGTGGTTTGGTTGGAAATAGTCTTAAAGTTTCTTTTATGACGCGTTCTAAGTACTCCAAGTTGTTTATGTCTTCTAAAGTTGGTTTCCTGTCATCGGTGCCAAAAACTGATTCCAGTTCGTCCATTATTTTACTCTTTAATATTCATTTTTTGCATTTTTAAATACACATTTTGATTTTTACCTGTATTTCTGGAAGTATTCCTAAAACTATTAAGACTATTCCAGTTGTGATAGCAGTAGTTTCGCTGCCAGTAATCATTATGTTTTGGAGTTCTTCCAAAATGGCTGAATCGTCAATTTTATTACAGTTTAATAAATGATTCAAAAATTGTTTTTCTTTGCAAGAATTTTCTGAAAATGAATACCACCATTATGTGATTGTTTTTAATTTCGAAATAAGTTGTCAAACCTGTTGTGACTACCTCGTTTATTTTTTTAAATTGTATTATCTGAAATTAGTAAAATCATTATTGGTTTTTTTATTTACACGTTTGATTACTTGTTGTATAAATGAAAACATTTCTGTACAAGCTTTATCCATTTGTCGACTTAAAGAAGAGGTTTCCCAAATGAAATCAATGTGAAACCAAGTAGAACATGTACGAATTGCTATCAGATTTTCAACTCTAAAAATATCACTATAGTACCTTTTTTTAATCAATTATATTACCTCATTATGTTTCGTATATAATTGTCTTGCCCTTGCAATAAAGTACTATCAACATCTGCAAATGTTTCTAAAAGAAATTATTTAAATTTGGAAAAAAACATAAATAGTTGATACCACAAGCCATATCTAATGTACATCTGAACAATGTATAAAACGCATCAAACGATTCTTTTCCGCAATTTTCTTCAAAACCATCCACCAAATTATTTGCATGTCGTGCAAAAATCTCCATAAACGAATTTAAAACTTTTGGATTAAAAGTCGGATTAATAATTTTTCTCCTGTTTCTCCAAATGTTTTCTTTAACGCAAAATTTATATCAAAATTTGTCAACCACATATTTTACCAACCTGGAGCTGTTAAAAGACCATTTCTTATCATTTTGTACGAATATTTTTGGTAAAATTTCGGTTTCTCAAAACAGGTATTTAAGACAAATTCAACATCTTTCGGATTTGAAGTCACAACCAACAAATCGTTGCCCAACCAAAATTTAAAGAATGATGGTTGCAACTCTAACGTTTTAGTGATTTTTTTATGAAATACTAAAAAACGACCAAGTTTTGAATTTTTCAAATTTATGTGTTACCTTTTTGGCCTCCCATGAGATAATGGGCGCTTCCAATAATGGGCCAACCGAATGGTCCGTTTATTTTTGACCCATAATAATACAACCATCGTCTACTCCAATTGTATTGTATAATGAAACATAAGACAAAAACCGAAAAAATCCATGTCAAAGCAGACAAGATGTTGACAATTTCGGACATCGTGTTGGAGTTTTACTGAATTTGTGCAAATTTATTGCGAAATTAAATAATAGTCATCATAATCGCAGTCTTCATTTAGTAATAAACTTTTAAATAATAATTTTCAAAAACTCAAAATATTTTAAGTAAGTCTTTTCTATAAAACTGGTTCGAAAATTTTTATTTGTTTCAAAAAATTTTGTCACTAACAGTTTGTACTTTGTTTGTACTACTTTGATTCTTTTGTGGTCAAAGCATTGTGTGGCGAGCTTTAAATAGTTTGGTCCTTGACACAACAGTAATAAATTTTTGTTGTTAATTTTATCAAAAACAACAGTTGTTTCTTTGTTATTTACTTCAATAGCTTTGAACAGATTAATCAAAAGTCTAATGATTTATTTACTATTGGCAAAACAAATTTTCCCTCTTTTGTTAAAAAATAACAATAATTATCTACACACTTATTCATTAATCACGTCGTATAAGTACTATAAGATGTATTGTATTTACAATCTAATGACAGCAGTAGAAAAAACAACAATAAAAAACTCCAGAGTAGGAGGTGTTACATGTTTTAAGTGGGGTTTAAATTGTTCTCGCCGTTCATGTTCATGAATCACCCTGTATACAAAATTTTCAAAAATGAAATACGTTTTATTTTCTTCTATTTATTACTCAAAGTTGAATATTTTTTCTCTAATTTTATTTTATAACCATGTTTCGGTTTTGCAAGCATTCCGAATATTAGTTCAATATCTTCTAAACTTTTATACTGTGACGGTTTGATTGTATATTTCCTTAAAATTGCTGCTAAGAGTACTTTCATTGACATCATACCGTACTTCATGCCTAAAAATGACCCAAAATTAATTAAAAATGAAACGAATTTTGTGTCAATACAAACCTACACAGTTCCTAGGACCGTAACTAAAAGGAATAAAAGTACAACGATGTTGATTGGTGTTATTTTCAGGTAAAAATCGATCAGGATCGAATTTGTTTGGGTCTTTCCAAAATTCAGGCTTTTTTCCAATGTGGTGAATTGGAATAAAGGCCATACTACCGGCGGGGAATGTGCACTGTTCTATAAAATTAAGAAAATTTAAAATGTTGAAGATGTTGTTTTCGTACCTAATTTTATGTCTTGATCAATTGATCTCATAATAATCGGTGCGATTGGAAAAATTCTCAAGGTCTCTTTAATCACACATTCTAAATACTGCATTTTATTTATGTCTTCAAATGTCGGATCTCTTTCGTCATGATCAAAAATTAAATCGAGCTCATCCGAAATTTTTCTCTACAATGGATTATTCTAATTTTTATTTTTTGTTATTTTTTCTTACCTGAACTTCGGGATGTATTCCCAATACGATCAAAGTCATGCCAACTGTGAGAGCAGTACTTTCGCTACCAGTAATTAGAATATTTTGAAGCTCGTCCTCAATTTCTGCATTAATTTTACTCAAGTTTAGTAAAAAATTTGTAAAAGGGTGATTTTTGTCCTCTTGTTTTAATTTTTTCAAATTTATTATTTGTTTTATGAAAGAAAATGTTTCTGCACATGCTTTGTCCATTTCTCTACACAGCGATGACATTTTCCAAAATATATCAACTTGAAGCCAAACACTGATTGAACGGATTGCAATAATATCTTCTATTCTAAAAGCAAAAAGGCTTTTTTTTTCTAAAATATTTTTTTTTACTTTTTACCTTATTACTTTTCGTATATAATCTTCTTGCCCATAAAGTAAGGAACAATCAACATCAAAAAGTGCTTCTAAAGAATTAAAAATTTTAGTGAATTGTTATTTAATTCCATTTGAAACTTGCTTACCACAAACAGTATCCAAAGTACATTTAAATATTTTTAAAAGAACATCCGACGTTTCTTTTCCACATTCTTCTTCAAAAACGCTTACTAAACGGTTTGCATGTTTCCCAAAAGTTTCAGTAAAAGTACTTAAAATTTTCGAGTTAAAAGTAGGATTTACCATTTTTCTTTTTCCCTTCCAATTATTAACTTTAAATTGGAAACGTTAATATTTGCTACAAAGCCTTCTAAATACCAACCTGGCGCTATGAAGAGACAGTTTCTGAGCAATTTCTTTCCATAGGCGTAAAATTTCGGTTTTTCTAAACAACAATTTAGGATTATTTCAACGTCTTCAGGTCTCGATGTCACCACTATTAAATCTTTACCCAACCAGAATTTAAAAATTGACGGGTATTTCTCTAAATGATCCGTCACTTTTTTATAAAAAACTGGAAATAAATGTTTAGTTTAGTTAAATTTTCCTTGTACAAAGGTACAAAACCTTCTTGTCCTCCGATGAATTTATGGGCACTTCCAATGATGGGCCAAGCGAAAGGGCCGTCCATTTTAGACCCATAGTAGTAGAGCCATCGTCTACTCCAGTTGTATTTTATAATAAAATACAGAATTACAATCAATAAAACCCATAACAAGACTGACGCGATGTTAATGTTTTTGTTCATGTCTTGGATTTACTAGAAGAGTGGTACTTTTGTTGGGTGTATTTATATACCTATTATTGTAACAAAAGAGGTAGTAAACATTTAGAAAAACCAGATTGTGTGCTTAATTTATGTTAATGTAATCAATTTTTTGGTTTACGATGTTTAGTGAATTTTACAAACAGGTTCGTCTTTGGTAACAAGTTTTTAGTGATCTTTTTTAACAATTTTTTTGAAACCAAGTAATGGTCTTGCAAATATTTGAAACAATTTTAAATTGTGGGCTTTTGAATGTATACTTTCGGAAACTTGTCGTTATTAATAAATTGACAAATTGACAAGTATAAAATCGATCAAGTTATTCAGAATTAGATGAACCGATAAAAATACTAATACATTAGAAATTAATAAAAAACAAAAAACTTTTTTTAGAACTCTTTATCTAACAAAGTAAACAAGCTCAAAAATAAATACATTAAAATCATGTTCCTTAAATTTTTTATTTCTCATTTACAAATATTTTGAATACATAATTTTAACAAAAACTGGATTTACAAGATCTAATGTGTTACCAGAGATTTTCTGTTACTGTGATCTGGACTTTCCTTTTTAGTTGATGTTAGACTTGTACAGGAGTATATTGTTGGTAGCATAATTTATTAGAAGTTAAAAATTGTAACTATTATTATCATTAATTTCTGCTACTGTGATCTGTTATTAGAAAACTATTGTCTTTTTCAATTGAAATTTGAAACAATTTGAAACAATTTTAAATTGTGGACTTTTGAAAAATTGTTGCTATTAATATTTTGACAAATATGTTGCTCTAATGGAAGTCTAAAATCGATAAAATCAATTCATATCCATTATTGAAAATGGCGTAAGTGGGCAACTACATTATTATTTTTTGTTATTATTATTAAATACAAATCGATACAATTTAAAACTGCTAATAAATTACAAAAATTACAAAAACCAAAAACCTTAAAAAAATCAATCAAATAAAAAAAATCGGTTAAAAATCCAAACAAAACTTTGGAAACAAAACAATTTCATTAAGAATAACCACACGACGATGTGGAAAGCCAGTAGAAAAACTTATACATTTGGATTGTATCAATGACAACGAGACAATTTTCTGGATTTTTTTCCAGGTTGTTTCAGATAACAGAAAACTGGAAAAAATGTCTAAAAAAATCTGTTTTTCAAACATATTTAACATTTGACCTTTTTTAAAGTCACCCATGATCTTGTATATATTTTTTTATAATTATAAATATTCCGTAAATTTACAAAAACTTTATAAAATAATAAAAGCCACAAATAACGTTAAAAACAAAGTTACAATTCAGAATATAACTTTTTTGTTTCCACTAGTAATAGCCTTCAGCAAAAAAACTTGTACAATTAGAAATAATTAGGATCAAAGTGCAAAATTTACAACTCCGTATAATTTCGAAATTTTACAAAAATAGGGTGTTCCATTTAATTTTTTAAGTTATTTAACTTCATTGTACAAATGCAACAAACAAAAAAAATATTGTTATAATCTTAAAATTTGTACTTTTTTCTTTGCGGTTGTAAAAAAAATTCTAACTGTCTTAGTCTTTGTGTAATATTTTTTTTAATAGTTCGTTTTTATCAAAAAACCCAACTTATTGCAAAAATTTAGCAAAATCGACCACTAGACGTTTAGTCTAGTTTAGTTTTAATAAAAAGCTATATCCAAAAATGCCAAGAATCACATGATGCTTTATTTAAAAAAAACACAAATTTGTATTGTAAGTTATTTTTGGGACACGCTGTATAGTTGAAAATAATATCGGGCTATGCATTATTTAAAGGTAAATAATGGAGTTTACCAACTCGCTGGGACAGCGATAAAAAAAAAGAAGGTTTAATTTAGTTAATTTGGTTTGATACTGCATATTTTTAAAAGTTTGCTAAAAGTCGCATAAGAAGTCCTACCTACTTTTATATGTAAATAGGGACTAAGGTTCTCAATCCATATTAGATTTTTCTAAATAAAACGAAAATTTTTAATTTACTATTTTTATTTATTAGGTGCTTGAGAAATCATCACTTTTCAATTATTTTTTTTTCTAGATTGATCTTGTAACCTGGTACTGGTTTGGCCACCACACCAAATATCATTTCGACATCTTCCAATTTTTTATACACAGATGGTTTAATAGTGTACTTTCTTAAAATTGTCGACAACAAAACTTTTACTGACATCATTTGCAGTTGTAAAAAATTTTTTTAGCTATCTTTGTTTTTGTGTAATAATTTATTTAAAAGAGTTTATTTTTGTCCAACCCAACTTATTTCAAAAACTCAGCAAAGTCGACCAATCGAAGTTAAAACACTGTAACGAAAAACTACTTCTAAAAATGCCAAGAAGCACATGATGCCCTATTTAAAAAAACACAAGTTTGTATTGGAACTTATTTTTGGGACACGTTGTATAGTTAAACATAATGTCGGGCTATGCATTATTTAAAGGTAAATAATGGACTTTACCAACTCGCTGGGACTCATTTGATTTTTCCTAATAAAACAAAAATTTTTTCTCCACTACTTTTATTTATTAGGTGCTTGAGAAATTATCAGTTTTCAATTATTTTTTTTTCTAATTTTATCTTGTAACCTGATACTGGTTTGGCCACCACACCAAATATCATTTCAACATCTTCTAATTTTTTATATTCAGATGGTTTAATGGTATATCTTCTTAAAATTGTCGACAACAGAATTTTCACTGACATCATGCCGTATTTGAATCCTGTAAGTAGAAAATTTATTTAGAATTTTAACAACGAAACATTTTCATTTTAACACAAACCAATGCAATTTCTAGACCCGAAACTAAAAGGAATAAAAGTGCACCGATGGCGATTCAAACTATTTTCTGGTAAAAATCGATCAGGATCAAATTTATTTGGTTCCTTCCAAAATTCAGGTTTTCTGCTGATGTGATATATCGGAATCAAGACAAAACTTCCAGTGGGGATTGTGCAAGAATCTACGAGTAATGTTTCAAACCTGTTTTTTTTGTTGTTTGTTTTTCATACCAAGTTTTATGTCTCGGTCAGCTACTCTTAAAATAAATGGTACAGGAGGAAATAATCTCAAAGTCTCTTTAATCACACGTTCTTAATACTCCATTTTGTTGATGTCTTCTAAAGTTGGCTCTCTATCATCGTTGCCAAAAATCAATTCAAGTTCTTTGTTGATTTTTTCCTTAAAATTTGTACTGTTACTGTTACTCGTAGCTATGTTAATTTTAATTTTTACTTGTATTTCTGGATATATCCCTAAAGTTATTAAAATGAATCCAACTGTTAGAGCTGTAGTTTCGCTGGAAGCAATCAGAATAGTTTGAAGTTCATCTTCTAAAGCTGTTTCATCAATTTTGCCCAATTTTAACAAATGGTTTATAAATCGTTTTTCTCTGTGAATGTTATCTAAAACCAAAAAGAATAAAAATACCACTCTGTAAAAATTTTCCGTACCTTGATCTAGATTGTGGTTTAAACTTGATTTTTTAAATTCTATTTCCTGAAAATAATTGACAAAATAATGTTTGATTTTTGATAGTTAAAGATTACTTGTTTTGCAAAAGAAGACATTTCTTTACACGTTTTGCTCATTTCTCTACCAAGTGAAGATCTATTCCACAGAAAATCTACATGAAACCAAATAGAACAGGCACGAATTACTGTGAGATCTTCTATTCTAAAAAAAAAAAACAGGAATTTTTCTTCTTTCTTTACTTATACGTCTAGACAGTATATTTATTAATACCTTGATAAATTTCGAAAAAACCTTTCTTGATCAGTAATCATATTGTTGTTAACGTCAGCAAGCGTTTCTAAATCAATAAATAATTTTTGCTTAAAAATAGTTATCAAAATACTTACCACAAGCAATATCAAACGTGCAACTAAACAATTTTGATAAGATATCAAACGATTCTTTTCCACAGTTTTTTTCAAGAGCATTTGCCAAGTGATTTGCATGTCTTCCAAAAATTTCAATAAACGAATTTAAATTTTTTGGATTAAAAGTCGGATTAATCATTTTTCTTCTACTCTTCCAAATACCAACTTTAACAAAAAAATCATTATGTTTTAATAGTTCTCTCATACTGACCTGGTGCTGTTATAAGCCCATTTCCGAGTATGCCCATCATAAAATCATAAAGCTTCGGTTTCTCGAGACAATTATTCAAAATAATTTCAACATCTTCAGATTGTGAAACTGACACTACTAAATCGTTACCGAACCAAAATTTTACAATTGAAGGATATGATTCTAACAATTTCATCATAGCTTTTGATAAAACTGAAAAACAAGTTGTGATTTAGTTCATTTTAAATTTTCTGTACCTTTTTGACCTCCGATGAAATAATGGGCACTGCCAATTATGGGCCATCCAAAGGGTCCATCAATCTTAGACCCATAATAGTACAACCATCGTCTACTCCAGTGGTATTTAACAATGAAAGCGATGATCAAAGTCAAGAAAATGCTTGACAAAACAGACGTGATGTCGAAATTTTTCAGCACCATTTTCGGCTTATTTCTACTAAACTGATATTAGCTTTGGTTGCTTTTATACAGCTTAAAGAATATTTAATTGTAACTATTTACGTCAGTAACGCAATTTCACATTTTCTAATCCACTTTTTATGTTTTTTTAATATAATTTTTTTGTTTAAAGAATTAAAGGAGATAATAATTAATGGATTAGTTATTCGTATCATTATTGAATTTTTATTGTACAATTATATTACATTTGCATTTTAAATTTTCCTTTCCAGTTTTATTTTGAAACCGTGTTTCGGTTTTGTTACCATGCCAAAAATCAGCTCAATTTCCTCCAAACTTTTATACTGTGCAGGTTTGATGATGTATTTGTTTAAAATCGCTGCTAAAAGTACCTTCATTGACATCATACCGTACTTAAAGCCTGAAAAAAAAACAGTTTTACTGAAAAAAATAACAATTTTGATTTAAACACGAACCCACACAATTTCTAGCACCGTAACTAAAAGGGATGAATGTACAACGATGTCGATTAGTATTATTTTCGGGTAAAAATCGATCAGGATCAAATTTATTTGGTTCTTTCCAAAATTCTGGCTTTTTTCCAATGTGACCAATTGGTACCAATACAAAACTACCAGTTGGGATTATGTAAGGATCTGTAATTGGTTTAAAATTTTTTGAATTGTTTGAATTTTTTGATTTGATACCTAGTTTTATATCTTCATCCATCGATCTCAAAATTATTGGTACGATTGGAAGTACTCTTAGTGTTTCCTTAATCACACGTTCCATATACTCCATTTTGTTTATATCGTCCAAAGTTATTTCTCTGTTATCAGGCCCCAAAACTAATTCAAGTTCGTCCATGATTTTTTCCTACAATTTTTATTTTATTTCAATTAAAAAAATATTTTTATCACCTGAACTTCAGGATATATTCCCAAAATTATTAAAACCATTCCAATTGTAATCGCTGTTGTTTCACTACCAGTTATAAGAATAGTTTGAGTTTCCTCCTCAACAGCTAATTCATTAAATTGTGGATTTGTTTCACTTGCAGTTAACAAGTGGTTAAGGAAACGTTTTTTCTTACAAAATTCGTCGTCTAAAATGATAAATAAATAAAAAGTTACAATTACATTTTATTGAACCTAGCGTAAATTCTTCACTAACTGTTGGAACTGGATATAGTTTCTTTAAACCTAAAATCTAAAATTGATATTAATAATTTAATCCATTTTAATTGAATTACTTGTTTTATGAAACCGAATACTTCAGGAGATGCTTTTTCTACTTCTTTCCCAAATGACGAATTGTTCCAAACAATGTCGGGGTGAAGCCAAACACTGAACGAACGAATTGCTAAAACATCCTCCATCCTGAAAAAATGACATTTTTTTCAAATAATCAAAGATTTTTTATACCTTATTGCTTTTTGTAGATAAGCATCCTGGCCTTTAATTAAATCACTGTCAACATCAGCTAGAGTTTCTAAATTATAAATTTTTGTATTATTGTAGGGAAAAAAATTGGGATTTTTTCATTACCACAAGCAATATCTAAAGTGCTCCGAAATAGTTTCAAAAAAACGTCAAATGATTCTTTCCCGCAACCTTCTTCAAAAACATCCACTAACCGATTTGCATGTTTCCCAAAAATGTCAATAAACGAGTTTAAAATTTTCGGATTAAAAGTCGGATTGATGGTTTTCCTCCGGTCTTTCCAAATTTTTGCTAAAAACAACAACATCAAATGGGCTAAATTAACTAAATACTAACCTGGTGCTATTAAAAGTCCATCCCTGAACAATTTATACGAATAATCATAAAATTTCGGCTTCCCGAAACAATTACTCAAAACAGTTTCAACATCTTCCGGTCGTGACGTCACCACAATCAAATCTTTACCCAACCAGAATTTGAAAATGCTTGGTTGTGTCTCAAATAGCTTGATCATGTTTTTGTAAAATACTGGAAAGTGTGGGTTTTATTGTGTAAATTTAGTTTTTTGTACCTTTTTGGCCTCCGATGAAGTGATGGGCGCTTCCAATGATGGGCCACGCAAACGGTCCGTTTATTTTCGACCCATAATAGTACAACCATCGTCTACTCCAGTTGTATTTGATAAGAAAAAGTAGGGCAAGGGCTGAAAAAAGCCAAGTCAGAGCACACGTCATGTCGATATAGGCTGGTTTCATTGTGCAAATGAGAGTATAATCAGTTCAAAGAGCTTTATAATTGTAAAATCGTCTGTAAAAATTTTGAAACTTGAAATTTCAGATTGGGGCTTTTACTTTTCAAGGTGCAATTGGAGACGTTTAAATTAAAAGTTTTCATGATTGTTAAATAAAAATACACAGTTTTAAGATTGAGAGAAGGTGGGTGACCTAGTTCCTTTCATATTTTGGTACTTGAGAGAACTCGTTTCATGATCTGTGCCCACTACCGCATTATTAACTCATTTCCTCAAAATTAGCTGAAAATCTGATGTGTTTTTTTTAAATATAGTAGTCATAGGATTCAAAATCATTTTAAGTTTTTCTATTTTACTTCAAATGCGTATTTTATCTTTTGATTTTTTTTGAAATACTTTGATTTGCAATGATTAAAAATAAATGTTTAAAAAATAGTTTTCTTCCAAAATAAAGCGTTTTGAGCTATTTTCAATCTAATTTTGCTCGATTTTAACACAAAAAGTATTCTAAATCAAAGTGTTTTATAAAAAATTATTGCTTATGATCTAATTTTAGGCCAAAATAAAGCAATTTGTGCTATTTCCAATCGATTTGGCTTAATTTTCAGCCGGAAACAAAGTATTTCAACACAATAAATGCTTAAATAACAGTTTTCTTTCAAAACAAAGCAATTTGAGCTTACAATCCAATTTTGCTCGATTTTAACACAGAAATCACTTTAAGTCAAAGTATTTTATAAAAGTGCTTGCTTTAAATCCAATTTTAAACCAAAATGAAGTAATTTGTGCTATTTATAATCGATTTGGCTTAATTTTCAGCCGGAAATCAACCTGACTCAAAGTATTTCAACAAAATAAATGTTTAAAAAACAGTTTTCTTTCAAAATAAAGCATTTTCACCAATTTCCAATCCAATCTTGCTCGATCTTAACACAGAAATCATTTTAAATCAAAGTATTTTATAAAAATATTTGCTTAAAATACAATTTGTGCTATTTCCAATCGATTTGGCTCAAATTTCAGCCGGAAATCAACCTGAATCAAAGTATTTCAACAAAACAATAGCTTAAATAACAGTTTTCTTCTAAAAGAAAGCAAATTGAGCTACTTACAATGTAATTTTGCGTAATTCTATAACTAAAACTACTCTAAATTAATGTATTTTATAAAAATAATTGTATAAATTAAATTATAATTATATACAAATTAATAATTTGTAAATATCTTAAATTACGTTGTTTTGACCAAAAACAACGATTTAAGCAGTTATATCGTTAATTTACAACGATTTTTGGCTTAAAACCGAGGCCAATTTTTAATTACATAATTTTTTTAGAGCTACTTATTCAAAATATAAAATATAAAATATAAAATGAAGGGAAAATAAAGGGCCAGGATGAATAAAAAAATTAAAAAACAAGTCCTTTTTTTGTTAAACTTTTTGCGCTATCAGAAAAAAAGAAACTAGAAAGAAAAAAAAAATAAGAGGGACCTAAACTTTTTTTCATAATTTGGAAGATATTAGTTTTCTTGGTACAAAGATGT